CTCATCCACCCGGGCTGTGAACACTGCCAGGGTTGGGGCAGCCACAGCCTCCCTGGGCAACCTGGGACAGTGTCTCACCACCTGAACAGGAAAAATCTTCCTGGTATCTAAATTTCCCTCTTTCACTTTCTCCCCATTACTTCTTGTCCTGTCACTGCAGTTCCTAACCAAGAGTCCCTCTGCAGCTTCCCTGGAGCCCCTTCAGCTCCTGGAAGGTGCTCTGAAGTTTCCACACAACCTTCTCTTCTCCAGGCTGAACAGCCCCAACTCCCTCAGCCTGTCCTCAGAGGGAGATGCTCCAGTGCTCTGAGCAACTTTGTGGCCTCGTCTGGACTTGCTTCAACAGTTCTATGTCCTTCTTATGTTGTTGGTACCAGAACTATGTGCAGCACTCCAGTTGGGTCTCACAAGAGCAGAATAGAGGGGAAGAATCACCTCCATTGAGCTGCTGCTCACACTCCTGTGGATATAGCCCAGGACACAGTTGGTTTCTGGGCTGTGAACTCAACACTGCAGCTCATACTGAGCTTATCATCAACTGTCACCCCTAAGTCCTTCACACTTGACCCATGTGTCCCTCCTGTGTCCCCCCAGGTGTAACTGCCACGCGCTGGGCTCCACCAACGGGCAGTGTGACATCCGGAGCGGGCAGTGCGAGTGCCAGCCCGGCGTCACCGGCCGGCACTGCGACCGCTGCGAGGGCAACCACTTTGGCTTTGGCTCTGAGGGCTGTAAACGTAAGTGTGAGAGGCTGCAGTGAGGCAGCTGGGAAGGGTGTTCACAGCCAGACGTGCTTTGAGTTCCTCCTGTCTCTGGGAGGTGTTTTCTCACCTTGCTCTTCGTCGCAGCAGAAGTTGGTGCTCTTATGTCTGTGCTGTGCGTGATGAAATTTGATCTCTGTACTATAGCTTAACTCCTTCTGCTTTTGTTATCATTTACTTATCCAACTTACTAGATATCCAAGTCATTAGATACTCACTTCTCTTTGGTGTAAATACATTCTCTGAATCTTGGCCTGCCACAGTCCTGTTTCCTCAGGTTAAATCTCACAGCTACTCTGCAGGTGGCCTCGATATACAGATTCTGTCTTGAGGAGCAAGAGATCTTGTAAACACCATTGTAAAACAGGATGATCCAAACTATCCTCATTGATATCCCTCCCTGTAAGGAGCAGGAAAATTAACTGCAGTTGGTTACAGTGAAATGGGGTAGAACAATTCTGTGTGGGAGAGGAAATAGCAATACTGAACACATGCGTTGAGTTCATAGTTTCATAGTATGTTAAGGGGCTGGAATGGAGTTAAGAGATGATCCCGCCCCAACCCCTGCCCTGGGCAGGGACACCTCCCAGCAGAGCAGGTTGCTCAAGGCTCATCCAACCTGGCTGTGAACACTGCCAGGGTTGGGGCAGCCACAGCCTCCCTGGGCACCCTGGGACAGGGTCTCACCACCAGAACAGGGAAAACTTCTTCCTGATACCTAATCTAAATTTCCTCTCTTTCAATTTCTCCCCATTACTCCTTGTCCTATCAGTGCAGTTCCTAACCAAGAGTCCTCTGCAGCTTCCCTGGAGCCCCTTCAGCTCCTGGCAGGTATCTGCTGGGTCCCCTTTGTGGGTAGAAATGCCCTGACCAGGACTGTGTTCCAGCTTTGAGGTTGTGCCCTGTAGCTCTTGCATATACTTTGTAGAGTATCGAGGTTCTGCTCTTGCCCTGTGGGTTTTGGGGTGCTCCTGCCTCGTGCATTCTGACTGGGGTTTCCATTGCCACAGCCTGTGACTGTGACCCCGAGGGCTCGCGCTCGCTGCAGTGCCAGGAGAACGGGCACTGTGAGTGCAGGGAAGGCTTCGTGGGCAGCCGCTGCGACCAGTGCGAGGAGAACTACTTCTACAACCGCTCCTGGCCAGGCTGCCAGGAGTGCCCAGCCTGTTACAGGCTGGTGAAGGATAAGGTAAGGCCACAAATGCTGCTGTTGGTACCAGTGGAGGTGGTGGCACATGCCCACCCGTGGCTGCTGCTTGCTGGAAGCAGAGAGGCTGAAGATGCTCTGCCATGCCATAGCTGTGTTCTATTCCCCTCGTGTAGGTGGCAGAGCAACGTGAGAGGCTGCAGGAGCTGGAAAATCTTATAGCAAACCTGGGTACAGGGGATGAAGCTGTCACGGATCAAGCCTTTGAAGAGAGGTTGAAGCAGGCAGAAAGAGAAGTTACAGAGTTGCTCCACGAAGCACAAAAGAGCAAAGGTGAGTTGACCTAATCAGACATGGCTTAACTGAATGAGTTCATTACCTGTTCCCTTTGGACACAGTGTGGTTTATTTCAAGCCTGTGCTTGAAATAAAAACCAGGACTGACAGCTATTTGGGGGAGCACTGAGATAGTGTATGTTGTTATCAGAGCAACAGTGCCTGTGCTTTTATCCCTGTTGTTCCTACCAGCCTCTGTTGTACATGCAAGTTAAAGATTTGTCTCTAGCTCTGTGCAGATCCAAGTGTTTGTGTTCCCCTCTCCAGATACAAAGGATGGTTTTATTTGTTAAACAAGCAGAAGACTTTCCAGTATACTTATTACACTTATGAGTTTGCTCAGGCATCTTGGGATAAAGTAGTTCTTGTTGGGATATCCCTAGCAATCAGAATGAAAGCTTCAAAATCCTGAGGAGTGCTGTTGTGATGGCCTTTAGCTGCTTTTCCTGTTCAGCTCTGCTTCAAATTGGTGGTTGTACTGTCACCTCTACCACAGGATGTTTGTGAGCAGGATGTTGGTCACGTCTGTGGCACTGGTTTGTCCTTAGGGTCTCTTTAATGTGTGAGATGATGTGTGTTTTGGAGAAGAGAAACTTGAAGGAGACTATTGACTTTGCAGTAAAAGATGTTCCCCTGGGAGTTGGTTCAGTGATTTCAGACCACTTTGGGGCAATCCATCCCCTTTGTGGGAAGCTGGGAAAAAGCTGATGCTCATGCAGTGCTGGTGTTTGCTTGGGAAGATTGCTGCCAGTGGGAATAATCCCTGAAGATCTTCTCAGCTGAGGTAGATACATGCTGTCTGTTTGATGTCTGTGCCTAGATAATAGTCCCACATAAGGGGATCAGAGGGTGGGGATTGGAGAAAGGTGAGGGAAGGGTTTGGGTTTTGTCATAGTATTTTTGATTCTTTCCAAGTCTTAGAATCATAGAATCATTTAGCTTGGAAAGACCCTTAAGATCAAGTCCAACCATTCCCCCAGCACTGCCAAGGCCACCACTAAACTGTGTCCCCAAGTGCTACATCTACATGGTTTTTCAGTCCCTCCAGGGATGGGGACTCCAGCCTGTTCCAGGTTGTTCTCTGAGAAAACCCTTTAGGTGAAGAAAGTTTTCCTAATATCCAACCTAAACCTCTGCTGTAACTTGAGGTCATTTCCTCTTCTCCTATTGATTGTTACCTGGGAGAAGAGCCCACACCTGTCTACAGCCTCCTTTCAGGGAGTTGGAGAAAGAGAGAGAGAATGTGCCTCCTGAGCCTCCTTTTCTCCAGGCTGAGCTCCCTCAGCTGCTCCTCATCAGACTTGTTCTCCAGCTCCTTCCCCAGCAATGTTGCACTTCTCTAACTAAGCAACAAGTTAAATGCAACACAGATTCCCCTTGCAAAAGTCTGTGCACATCTTTAGGAGTTATGTGTGCTTTTTCTCTGTAGTATGTTTTTGAAATGTGTGTCAAATGTTCATGTTAGGTACCTAAGTCTGCTGCAAGGTCGAGGTATTTAGGAAAAATCTTGATTTTGGAGGCCTGTAGGCTTCTGCTTGTACTGATCTGCTTGTACTGCATCTCTTACTGATGCTCTCAGCTTTTCAGAGGTAGCTGCCCCTGGCCATGAGGCACCTCCCTGTGCTGCAGTGGCTTCATTATTAAGGTGTTGTGGGGGGTTACCTGGTGGTCCAAAAATTTGGGGAAGTTTGGGAGGCTTGTCCTACAGATGAGAGAACCAAGGGTCTATCCTGCCAGCTTTTATCACCCCTTTGGTTTGGGGGCAAGTTTGAAGTGGGTTTACTATTCCACATAGCTCCTAGCTGCTCCCTGTGGAGACTGTGTCTGGTTTGGGAGTAGCCACCATTGCTCAAAGTAGAGAGTAGTGTACAGCCCCACTATTCTTCCATCTCTGCTTAACTTCTGGGAGTTGAGCTAAAGAGAATTCCCTAAGCAGATATTTCATACCCATTGAGAAGAGCTCTGTTGTCACTTTAAGTCTGTGACAGAGGTGAAACATGATTCTGAACACAAAATCCCCCATCAGAGTCGGTTCCAACACCCAGCAGGATTGTCTTATTAGTAGTTAATGGCTTTTCATTTCTCATATTTGGTGCACATTCTGATGGTGACTTTGATCTCAAGCTGAGTGACTTATGGAACAGCTTTGCTGGTCCCCTTTCAGTGGGGGATTAACCTGCCAATGTGGTGCCTGCAGTGGTAAGCTGCTGCTCCAGCTTCTCTTCCTGCTGTAATTAATTTTGCTTCCTCTTTCATATTGTGTCTTTCAGACGTAGATCAGGGCCTCATGGATCGTCTCAAAGACATCAACAGCACACTAACAAGTCAGCTCAACAGGCTGAGGAACATCCAGGGCACAGTGAGGGAGACAGAGAACCTGGCAGAGCAGGCCCGGGTGCGGGTGGAGGACACTGAGGACCTCATCAGCTTAGCTTCAGATCTGCTGGAGAAGGCAAAGGTGGCAGCTGATAACGTGGTGAGTGTGCTGCAGAGATCCCACACAGCTGGGAGAGCAGAGGACCTTCCTTCTGTGCCCTCTGGTGTGCTGCTCTGCTTGGTCTCTCTCTCTCTCTCATGTAACAAATTGTCATCAAGATGATGAGAAATAAATGAAGGAAGTTCACCAGTATCTGTCAGAGATTGTGTCTCAGCTCCTGCTCAGAGAAACCAACTTGAGAACTCCTAAATAAATATCAACACTTTTGTGTTTAAGGGATAACCAGTGGTAGAAACTGCATGCGGTTAAGAAAAGCTTATAGAGAAGTCAGAAATAGGTTAAACACATCTCTAAGCATTTAGATAATGACATTAAATATTTAAATCAAAGATGAATAAAAGATGAAAAAAGAGGTCTAGGGTTTTTTTTTCATCCCTTCTGTTTCTTTTCCCAGTCTATTACACCTCCAGATCAGAGTGGGGACCCCAACAACATGACCCTGCTGGCAGAAGAGGCTCGGAAGCTGGCAGAAAGGTAGGCTGTGGCCAACCACAGTCCCATGGGCCACAGCAGGGCCCTGCTCTTCCCTGCAAGGGGAAGCAGATCTCATTTGCTGGGTAGGAAAAACACACCCTGTGACTAAGAGACTGGCACTGTGGGGACATGCCTGCGTGGCACTGAGGGCAAACACTCAGTGGGTGAACAAGGGCCATGGCAACTGTAGCATCTTCCATTGCAAAGGTTTCAGTATCACCCATATTGAAGCCTGGGGAAGGAAGGAAAAGCAAGAGAGAATAAAATTGAAGCTAGAAACTATTGGCTGCCAAAGCTAATGGCATCATTTTATTTTCCATTGCCTTATCCAGACACAAAAAAGAAGCTGATGAGATTGTTCGCATAGCCAAGGCTGCAAATGATACTTCCACAGAAGCTTATCAACTGCTGCTGAAGACTTTGGCTGGAGAAAACCAAACTGCAATTGACATTGATGAGCTCAACCATAAGTGAGTCAGGAACACAAAATTGGTTTTATTTCCTGGCTTTAGAGCAGTGCTTAAAGCTAAAACACCTTCTGTATGCTCTGGGGTTTATGAGAGTCGATTTTCAATTACTTAGCCTCTCTGTTCTCTTCCTGAATTCAGTTCTACCAAAAAAAAAAATACTGTAACATAACTGGATCCTTTGGGAATTTTTAGGTACAATCAAGCAAGGAACATTTCTCGAGACCTAGAGAAACAGGCCAACAAGGTGCTGGCAGAGGCAGAGGAGGCTGGAAACAGAGCCCTGCAGATCTATGCTAACCTTACCAGCCTGCCTACTGTGGATTCCACGGGGCTGGAGGTACGTGTGGGCAGCACAGTGTGCAGTATCTCCTGGAGATTGCATGTTCCTCACACACCCTGCATGTGCTGTGCTAATGTTCTCTGCATCAGAACAGTCTGTGGGAGTGTTGTCCAACTAGGCTAGGCATAATCTAGACGTGTGCATTTCAGCTTTTACACCGTAGGACTTGAGTGCAGGAAACCACCTCCATAAACCCTCCACCTCCCCCAGTCTCTGAAGGACAAAACTCTGAGTGAAGTGTTTGCCAACCATCTTGGCTTGAACAGAGAAGTGTAAAAATTTGCCACCTGTTCAGAAATTCTTTAACCTTCAGGAATCTCTGTGTGTTTCTGATTTCCATTTGCAGAATGAAGCAAATAAGATCAAGAAGGAAGCAGAGGAATTGGATCAGCTAATTGCCAGGAAGCTGAAAGATTATGAGGGCTTGAGAGAAGACATGAAAACAAAGGAGCAAGAAGTAAAGAACCTCTTGGAGAAAGGGAAGACAGAGCAGCAGGTGAGTTGTTTTGTACAGGATTTTGTTCCCTGGAAAAATAGACAAGGTAGACAAGTAACTGGCCAGATACGAAAGATTTGGTCTTCCTCAGTCTTGTCTTTGTTGTTAATTATGAGAATGATCCCAGAAAGGAGATGCAGAAGGATGTTAAAAGCAGTGGCCTTGAGGCTGTGTGGGAAAATAGGGATGTTTGCCAGGTGAGGTGTGTCATCTTTGTGTTCAGAGCAGTGATCCAGAAGTGCCTACGATCCCCTGGTCTCAGGGGAGGCACTGCTCTTTGGGATGGCGTTGGTGCTTCAGGCTGAGCAGTGCTTTTGGTACACCTAGGTGGTTGTCCTTCAAAAGGTGAGAATCTACTGATACCTGTTGTGTCTCCTTAGACTGCAGACCAGCTCTTGGCTCGAGCAGATGCAGCAAAAGCCTTGGCAGAAGAAGCTGCTCGGAAGGGCAATGGCACACTCCAGGAGGCCAACACCATTCTTAACAACCTGAAAGGTAAAGAAGCAGCACTTGCAGTGAATCCTTCAATTCCTGTGTAACAAGTCACTTAGCAGTAGAGTATCCTGGTTAAACAGGATGTGCTGTTGCTCATTATCTGAGTCTTGGGTGGGTTCTTTTTGCTTGTTTTTCTTTTTTTTTTTAAAAAAAAGGGCTTTCAGTGACTAGAAATCTCCTTTTTAGCAATTTGAAGTGGCTCTGTTCCTTACTGAGCATCAGAATCATAGAGTCATAGCATGTTAAGGATTTGGGATGGAGCTTAGAGATCACCCAGCCTCACCCCCTGCCCTGGGCAGGGACACCTCCCAGCAGAGCAGGTTGCTCAAGGCTCATCCAACCTGGCTGTGAACACTGCCAGGGTTGGGGCAGCCACAGCCTCCCTGGGCACCCTGGGACAGTGTCTCACCACCAGAACAGGGAAAACCTCTGTCTGATATCTAATCTAAATTTCCCTCTTTCACTTTATCCCCGTTACTTCTTGTCCTGTCAGTGCAGTTCCTAACCAAGAGTCCCTGTGCAGCTTCCCTGGAGTCCCTTCAGACACTGGAAGGTTGCAATGAGGTCCTTGCACAACCTTCTCTTCTCCAGGCTGAACAGCCCCAACTC